TATTCAAGATTTGGTGTTATTTGCAAATATCGATAATATATTTAGAACGATGATATAATACCAGAAACCCTAGTCTCTCTCTGCTTCCTTTTTCTCTTACCACTCTCTTATCACGGCGACCAGGTTAGTGTTACGCTTCGTGTCCTGTTTCTGTTTCCACACGAGAGTGATTGGATCTTCGTTATCGGATCTCGTCCATTTCGTCTGGTTTGAATTCGCATCAGTGTATTGAATCTCTTGTGTTTCTTGATTGAAAGAGATGAATTTTAGGGTTTGGGCGAGATTCTCTGTAACTAGGATACGCAAAAAGCTTCTTCTTTTAATAAATTTTTTTGAGATGCCGATTGGGTTTTCTGTATTCTCGTTGTCTCTTTGCATCGGTAGGTTAACAAAATCGATGTGTTTATTATATTCAGGCAAATTGGTGTTTCGATTTATTGTGAGCTTGTCTTGCCTGCTCGTCTGAAACATGGCGAATTATACCAAACCAGAGAACGCATTGAAGCGTGCTGATGGTAAGTGACGAATTGTAAGTTTTTACGGCTCATGCCCATGAATATAGTTTTAGGCTGTGTGAAATGACATTGTGTTGCATCTGTGTGCAGAATTGATCAATGTTGGACAGAAACAAGATGCGCTCCAGGCACTTCATGATCTCATTACCTCCAAGAGATACAGAGCTTGGCAGAAACCACTTGAGAAGATCATGTTTAAGTACCTGGATCTTTGTGTAGACTTGAAGAGGGGTCGGTTCGCCAAGGATGGATTGATCCAGTACCGTATTGTTTGCCAGCAAGTGAATGTCAGTTCCTTGGAGGAAGTAATCAAGCACTTCCTACATCTTGCAACCGAGAAAGCTGAGCAGGCTCGCTCTCAGGCGGATGCCCTTGAGGAGGCCCTTGATGTCGATGATCTTGAGGCTGATAGGAAGCCTGAAGATTTACAGCTGAGCATTGTCAGTGGAGAGAAGGGAAAAGACAGATCTGACCGTGAGTTGGTCACCCCTTGGTTCAAGTTTCTGTGGGAGACATACAGAACAGTGCTTGAGATATTGCGAAACAACTCAAAGTTGGAAGCACTCTATGCGGTTAGTGTCTGTCGAGGATAAACTTATTAACATTTCCTCTGATCTTTGGTTGAATTAGATTTAAGACTTGTACATTATTATCGTGTAGATGACAGCACATAAAGCCTTCCAGTTCTGCAAGCAGTACAAGCGAACGACTGAGTTCCGTAGGCTTTGTGAAATTATCAGAAACCATTTGGCAAACCTGAACAAATACAGAGACCAAAGGGACAGACCTGACTTATCTGCCCCCGAAAGCCTGCAACTCTATCTCGATACAAGATTTGAGCAGTTGAAAGTTGCTACTGAGCTTGGACTTTGGCAGGTGTGTTTTGTTTCTACTTGTATTTTTCTGATTTCACCTTATCCTATCCTCTCTTCCATTGCTGAATAAGTTGGAATAGTTCTTGATGTATCTTTTGATTTCCAGGAAGCTTTTCGTTCTGTCGAAGATATATATGGACTAATGTGCATGGTCAAAAAAACGCCCAAGTCATCTTTATTGATGGTCTATTATTCCAAGTTGACCGAGATCTTCTGGATTTCTTCTAGCCATCTTTATCATGCTTATGCATGGTTCAAGCTGTTTAGTCTTCAGAAAAATTTCAACAAGAACTTAAGCCAGAAGGATTTGCAGCTAATAGCATCATCTGTTGTCTTGGCGGCACTATCTGTTCCACCGTTTGAGCGAGCTCACAGTGCATCCCATTTGGAGCTTGAAAACGAGAAGGAACGCAATTTGAGGATGGCCAACCTCATAGGATTCAATCTTGAACCTAAATTTGAGGGCAGAGATATGGTAAATAGGCTCTGATGTTGCCGTACTATTATATGTTCCTCCCTTTATTTCTGATTTGTTGTTTCTAATTCCATACATTTCATTTTCAGCTTTCCCGGTCAGCTCTTCTGTCAGAGCTGGTAAGTCTGTAGCAGCCACATCACATACTTTATTTACCTATGGTTTAGAATATGTCCCACCTTACAGGAATCTCATTTTGAGGCTTAATTATGTACAATTAGGTTTCAAGAGGTGTTTTGAGCTGTGCGTCTCAGGAGGTCAAAGATCTTTTCCATGTTTTGGAGCATGAGTTTCACCCACTTGATCTTGGCTCCAAGATTCAGCCTTTGCTGGAAAAAATTTCCAAATCTGGTGGGAAGCTGTCGTCAGCTCCTTCTTTACCAGAAGTGCAGCTCTCCCAATATGTTCCTTCTTTGGAGAAGCTTGCTACTCTGAGGCTACTTCAACAGGTAAAGGGTGCTCATACTTTTCTCTTTGTGGGGGAAATATCATTTCAACCCTTTTTGGCTTGGTCTGGTGGTTTCTCTCTTTTTTTTTGTACTTACTTGTATGTTGCCATCTTTTCAACAGGTGTCTAAGATATATCAGACTATAAGAATTGGGAGTTTATCTCAGTTGGTCCCCTTCTTCGAATTCTCAGTGGTAGAGAAGATATCTGTTGATGCTGTGAAGAACAATTTTGTTGCCATGAAAGTTGATCACATGAAGGGTGTTGTTATTTTTGGTAATTTGGTAAGCCTCCACACGCTTTTATCTTGTCCATCATTGAGTGATTTAATTTAAAACTTTTAACTCCTTGGTAGATGCTAATTTATTCAGTCAACTGTTTTTCTATAAGGGTATTGAGTCTGATGGACTGAGGGATCATCTGGCTGTTTTTGCCGAGTCTTTGAGCAAAGTAAGAGCTATGCTGTACCCTGTCCCAAGTAAAGCATCAAAACTATGTGGCATAGTACCAAATCTAGCGGACACTGTTGAGAAGGAGCACAAAAGACTACTTGCTCGGAAAACAATCATTGAAAAGAGGAAGGAGGATCAAGAGCGTCAGCAACTAGAAATGGTAGTGTATTTCTCCATGGTGATTTTCATACTTACCCTATTAACGTTCTGCCGATTGATGACAATTTCTTTATTTGATTTCCTTTGAAGGAACGTGAAGAGGAGCAGAAACGGCTTAAACTTCAGAAGCTTACTGAGGAGGCAGAACAAAAGAGACTTGCTGCAGAGCTTTTGGAGAGAAGGAAACAAAGAATCCTTAGGGAGATAGAGGAGAAGGAACTTGAGGAAGCTCAGGCGTTGCTGGAGGACACAGAGAAACGCATGAAAAAAGGAAAAAAGAAGACGCTTTTAGATGGAGTAAGTTTATTAACACAATATGTTAGCTATTGTAGCTAGCTTATTTGCGTATTACTAATATTGGTTGGCTTGAACTAAATGTAGGAAAAGGTGACAAAGCAAACTGTGATGGAGAGAGCCTTAACTGAGCAGCTCAAGGAAAGGCAGGAAATGGAGAAAAAACTCCAGAAACTTGCCAAAACTATGGATTATTTGGAAAGGGCAAAGAGAGAAGAGGCTGCTCCATTGATTGAAGCTGCATATCAGCGAAGACTGGTAGAGGAAAGAGAGTTTTATGAACGCGAGCAGCAGGTAAGAACGTTACCATTACAGTAGCTTTTCTTCCCTTGTAACTTATTTCTATACGGAGGTACTCAAAAGCTCTTCTGTTTTTCAGCGTGAAGTTGAACTCAGTAGAGAGCGTCATGAGAGTGACTTGAAGGAGAAGAACAGGTTGTCCAGAATGTTGAATAATAAGGTCAGTTTTTGACATGTCAAGTCGTTTCTCTGAATGTTAATCTCTACGCTTATTGAATTCTTTTTAATCTTCTCTTGTTTCCTATTTTCCAATCTACTCATAATTGAATCTTTCTGTGGCCAGGAAATATTCCAAGAGCAAGTGATTAGTCGTCGACAAGCAGAGTTTGACAGAATAAGGACGGAGAGAGAGGAGCGTATCAGCCAAATAATTCGAGCCAGGAAGCAAGACAGGGATATCAAGAGGAAGCAGATATATTATTTGAGATGTGAACAAGAAAGAATAACAAAGCTGAAGGAAGAAGAGGAAGCTCGCAAGCGTGAAGGTGAGATCTGTTTCCATAAATTCACATCATTTTACGTCTGTGTTGAAGTTTCTTCTTAATATAACCCCATGTTTCTGTATATACTCGGGTTTCACTCCTATGTAGAAGCTGAGAAACGCAAGAAGGAAGAAGCTGAACGCAAGGCGAAGCTGGATGAAATTGCTGAGAAGCAAAGGCAGAGAGAAAGAGAGCTGGAGGAGAAAGAGAGGCTGAGGCGAGAAGCCCTGTTGAGGGGAACCGATGCACCTCTTACTCGCCTTGCAGAGCCTACAGTTACTCCTCCTGCTGTTGCAGCACCAGCAGCAGCTGCAGCGGCGCAAGCACCAGCAGCGGCGCAAGCACCAGCACCGGCTACTGGTAAATATGTTCCTAAGTTCAAGCTTCGGACAGCCGAGGCCTCAGGCTCAGCCGCATCAACATCGACACCACCACCTCCAGCAGATGACCACTGGGGAAGCAACAGAGGAGGACCGCGTCCTGGTCCTAGAGGCAGTGACCGCCCAAGTGGTGATAGTTGGCGAAGTGAAGGCCGTTCTACGTTTGGAAGCTCCAGGCCCAGGCCAGGACAGCGTTGAGTAATATTTTTTTTGGTCCCACTCTCCATGGAATGGAAGTGATCTCTGAATTTTTCACATCACAGGCTCTTGCTCCTCTTTAGCCAAATCTTTGTTGTTTTGAGGATTAATGAAACTTGCTTTTGTTTTTCTCTCTGAGGATTTTAAAACCTGCAAGACTCTTTTTGGCTCGACACATCAAGAGTTTTTCTTTCCTTATTCGGTTAGTTTACCGTTGGATCTTTTTATGTCCAATTTACCTGTTACATTCTGCTGTAAAAACCTTGAACAGCCTTTTTATTCAATTTTCGTATTGTTTAATAATAATTGTTGAATGTTTAGAGAGAGCTGCATACAAAACCAACCAAATATACCTTCAACGTCATTTGTATCCCTTATGTGATAGAGTAATTGAGCACATCTCTTGCTTAGAAATATTTACTTTTCTACAAGATTCTTCAGCGCGAGTACTTGCCTTGATTTGAGAACAGAGCATGGGCAAAAGCTCTCTCTTCACGAGGAAAATAGAGAAAAGTGAATCAAAAAGTTTGTATAAAATAAAATATTTTGATTGGATTGTCAGTGTGTTCATAAGCTAGGGTTTCGTTTGGGTTTTTCAATTTTGCAAAGAAGAGAAGGAACATAAGAAAATGTGGCCTTTTTGGTGGAAAGGAATATCTGGGTTCTCTGCTCGTTCCACAGCTGAAGAAGTCACTCATGGAATCGATGGTACTGGTCTCACCGCCATCGTCACAGGTCATCTTCTTCTTCTTCTTCTGGATAATCTTTCAACTTTTTATGATATGGGTTTGTTTCAATTTAAACTCTTTCCACAATTTCAGTTCTGGGTTTTTGTTTCAATGGATGAAAGGATCAAACTTTTTTGGGATTTGTCAACTTGATTATGTAAATTGACGCATCTGTTGGTTTCATTACAGGAGCATCAAGTGGTATAGGGGAAGAGACTACGCGTGTTCTTGCTCTTCGTGGTGTCCATGTGGTAATGGCGGTTAGGAACACAGATTCTGGTAATCAAGTCAGAGAAAAGATACTTAAGGAAACACCTGAAGCTAAGATTGATGTAATGAAGTTAGATCTTAGCTCAATGGCTTCAGTCAGGAGCTTTGCATCAGAATACAAGTCCTTGGACCTTCCCTTGAATCTTCTCATGTAAATCCCTAATTTTTCTGTCAAACACTGTCTCATTTTTTTTCCAGTAATTGCTTGAATCAGTGAATGTTTTCAGTGCATGCTTAATCTCTGTTCTTGTTTCTGAAGCAATAATGCAGGTATTATGGCATGTCCCTTCACGCTTTCAAACGATAACATTGAATTGCAATTTGCAACCAATCATTTGGGTATGTTTAATATATGATCCTCCATTTTGCTCTTTTGTGGAACTTTTTGTCTGTAGCCGTTATTTCTCATGTTGATGTTTGAAGTATGATGAGGAAACACTTTCTATGTTAGAAGGTTTATGTTTGTAGAATTCTTTTTCAGGTCATTTTCTGCTGACGAACCTTCTTTTGGATACGATGAAGAAAACAGCTAATGAAAGCAATAGAGAAGGAAGAGTTGTTATTGTCTCATCAGAAGGTCATCGATTTACTTACCGGGAAGGGATTCGGTTTGACAAAATAAATGACGAAGCAAGGTGATTGTTATGTGATAATATTATTCATTACTTTCGATTCTAATTGTTATACCAATTAATTTACTCTTGTTGCTCTCACCGTTTCTTTGCAGTTACAATACTTTGCAAGCATATGGGCAGTCAAAGCTCTGTAACATATTGCATGCTTCTGAGCTCGCTAAGCAGTTCAAGGTAAAACAGTATTTCGCAGGTGACTTCTTTCAATATTAATCAATTCCAATTGCCAAAGAGAAATAAAAATGAGTTAAGTTTTGTTTATCTATGATTTTGCTTAAAACAGGAACAAGGTGTGAATATCACTGCCAATTCACTTCATCCCGGATCCATTATGACCAATCTTTTGCGCTACCACAGCTTCATAAATAGTATATTCTTGTTCTCATTACTCTAGTTCTTATAAATACGTCGTTTTGTAAAATTTTTGTTTGAGCCTGCACTGTGACTCATATCCTAGGTGATGTTTGATTGTGTAACTAGTATAAGGTATATTCTGCTTAACCTACGCATTTTTGCTATGCTCTACCACATTAAGCTTGTCAATGAATTTTTTAATGATCTAACGATGGAGGATGCATTAGAGGATCAACCGCTAGTATCATGAGCTGTGGAGTGATCAGTCTAAAAACAATTTTGTTTTTCTCTTGTTTGATGCAGCGATTGGTAATGCGGTGGGAAAGTTTGTGCTGAAGAGTATTCCACAGGTTGGGTTTTTGATTTCTTAACTTCAAGTTGATCACCATTCTCAAGCATGCATGCATACATACATACATACATGTTTTTATATGTGTTGTTGATACGGTTCTTGCAGGGAGCAGCAACTACATGTTACGCAGCGCTACATCCGCAAGCAAAGGGAGTGAGTGGAGAGTACTTGATGGATAACAACATATCTAACCCTAATTCTCTCGCTAAAGACAAAGATTTGGTCAAGAAACTATGGGAGTTTAGCTTGAGCCTAACTGGTGAAGAAGAATCATAGATGCATTTGCGAAGTTACAGTCTTACAGAAAAAGCCATGTGGTTTAAATGTGTGGCTGTAAAAAGATATGTTGGGTCAGTTCTCTTAACAAAATATTACACTTTTATATATATACTAAGTTCTAGTTCTCTTCTTTTTTTTTATGAATAAAAAATTCGATTTCTAAAGCATTTGTAAAGTGTTGATTTTGATTTTTATGTAATGAAAACGAATGTTCATGTACGTAAAGGTTATTAAAGTTTGTTGACTCCTTTGCAGCCATTGGCTCCAAACTTGGTCTCTTGACTCCGTTAAGGATTCATTTTTGTCTTGTTTTTTGCCAAACTGATGTAGAATAATAGGGAATCTTCAGATCATTTCACACTCTACAAGTCTACTGGCTTATTTATATGATTATCGGTGGAGTTGGTAGCTTTGATCATTTGACCAGTTTTTAGGGATTGTCACGTCAAATGCCTTGTAATTTCTAAACACAAGCCTTTGGTTTTGATCTTGAGAGAATGCAGCTCAAGACTTCATTTTTACTAATCTTTTGTTCTTTCCTATTAACCTAAGATGCTGGCTAGGTTTTTTTTGGAAATATTTTATGAGAAATTAGGCCATAGGTACACAATATATATATAAACAAGACCAGAAAAAGTCACCTGCGGCTGCTCTGTTTTCTATAATGTGTAGATCACTGAGAGACTTCATTACAAAAGCAAACACAATTATAACATTGTAAACACAACTCCTCTTCTTCAATGGCGATTATTTCTCTGCTACGATTCAGAAAACGGCTAAGAACGACTGGCTTGTGGCGTTCTTGATCATATTGTCCCTCTCTTTCTTCGTCGATTGCACTTCAGACACTGTCCCCTCCGTTGTTGACCGTAACGATCTTGTCAAACTGAAGTTGTCGCGTAAAGCTAAAGAGAGAGGAGCATGTACTGTCATCAATTTATTGTCTTCTTCTTATACTTTTGTTTTCGTTTTACAGTTTGAAGCATTTCTATGCGATTTTTTTCACAGTTTGCTTGGATGGAAGCTTGCCTGGTTACCACTTTCATAAAGGTTCAGGATTTGGCTCCAAAAGCTGGCTTCTTTATTTGGAGGTATATTCTCATTTTTGTTGATGTGAAATGTTCTTGGGAATTAGATTATAATTTTGAGTGACATTCAATAAAAGGGTGGGAGGATGGTGCGACACAATAGAGTCGTGTTCTTCTCGAGCAGTGACTAGCTTAGGTTCTTCCAACTACTTTGAAAGTAAAGTCGCATTTGACGGCGTTTTAAGCAGTGACCCATCTCAAAATCCTGGTAGGAGAATCTTTACTAGGACCTTCTTCTAATATTTACTTAAATTGTATATGGTAGTTTTTGAATCTATAATTGTCTTTGTTGCAGACTTCTTTAATTGGAATAGAGTTAAGATACGGTATTGTGATGGTGCTTCGTTCGCTGGACACCCTGAAGCTGAATTCAAGGTAGATAAAAGTTTTAATACATCATTGGAAGCCTATGAAACTTAAACACAATGCAAGAAAAGTTGTTTTTTAGTTTAAAAACTCTGTTTCTCTCTTCTCAGAATGAAACAGGGCTTTTCTTCCGGGGCCAGCTCATTTGGGAGGCGATTATGGATGAATTGTTGTCGATGGGCATGTCACATGCGAAACAGGTAGCGTCCTCTCCTTGAGATTAATGCATGAAATTCCTTTAACTTTTCTTTAGGTAACTCTCGTTGGCTAGAGATTAAATTATACATTGTGACTACTTTTGCAGGCCATTCTTACAGGATGTTCTGCAGGTGGCTTGGCAACTCTTATACATTGTGACTACTTTCGAGATCATCTGCCAAAAGATGCAGTTGTCAAATGTGTTTCCGATGGAGGCTATTTTCTTAACGTGTATGTTTCAAATGAGTTTAATGAAGCTGATGATACTCACGCAGGGCTAAGGAAGTTACTGGCAATGTTGAAATCAGCTAACAATGTCTTCTTCATTTCAGGCCTGATATCCTTGGAAAGCCGACGATGAGATCTTTCTATCGTGATGTTGTTAACCTGCAGGTTCTCATTCACGTTCTTTCAATAGTCAAATTCATATATCTCTTGAATTCTTCACTAAACTAAACAAGAACATGTCATGAGTTCTTTTTGCATGGCTTGATACCAAACAGGGCGTAGATAAGAGCTTGAATCAGAACTGTGTAAGCAAAATGGAGCCATCTAAGGTAGGTTTTGTCTCTTCTTTTGATATTGTATTCCCTCTCTGATTATGAGACTTCTTGATTTTGGTTTTGCAGTGTATGTTTCCTCAAGAATTCCTTAAAAACTTAAGAACCCCGGTGTTTCTTATCAACCCAGCCTATGACTAATGGCAGGTTAGAGCTACCGATCCAAGCATGAGAGCTTCTTTTTTTTTTGCATGCTTCCATTTGATCATATGTTTAATGTTATACTAACACTAAGCACATATGTTCAGATCCAAAATGTCTTGGTACCAGATTCTGCGGATCCAGATCAAATATGGGCAAAGTGCTAACTCAATATTCAGGATTGTAATGCCGCACAGATGAAAGTTCTACATGGTAGTTTACTTATTAATAAACCTTAATGATGAGCAATTTGATTCAAGTAAAATGTGGATTAGCTATAGATCTTTTGCTTCTATAAATATCTTCGGTCTTCCTTGGAGCATAAGTTATACTTTCTAACATGATCAGCTCTGTTTGATTCCGCAGGTTTTCGCACTTCTCTGATGGAAGCGATCGGGGAGTTCCATCAGAACAAAGACGGTGGGACGTTTATAGACTCGTGCTATTCTCATTGCCAAACATTAGCGGCAGAGACATGGCACTCACCAACCTCAACAAAAATTGAAAATAAAGTTGTCAAGACAATTTAACAGAAATACTTTTTGCTTTCTTTCTCGAGCTTTTCTTCTAACAAATGAACTGACCAGGTTCGTTTTTTGCTGTCGTTGGAACAGACAATTGCAGAGTCTGTAGGTAATTGGTACTTCAACAGAAAACCGGTGAAACTAATCGATTGTTCTTACCCATGCAATACCTCTTGTTGAACATGGATTTCACCTCAACTTCCCTTTTATATTTATGAAAATAGAAGATGATTAAAAGTAATTGGGATGATAATTAATAATTTATGTCGTTGGATAATCTATAAGAGGATAATGTTAATGGTTTGTGTGTCTAATTGATTAGGAAATCCAAACCAAATTTGTTGTTATTAGATCAATGTTTTTGATGTTCAAAAAAAAAAAATGGATCAATGTTTTTGAGTTTTGATTCTGTGTTTATTCGTCCTATGATTTCTAGATTCTACTTAAAGTACAATTATTCAATATTAAAGATTTGCACAATGATTTGAAATTTTAATGAATTTAGAAGTGTTTTTAAGTTTAAAAATTCTTAATACTCAAATATTGAGTTGTGATTTGTGAACTTTGTTATTTTGTACGACCTTGTAAAATAAAATGTTGGTGACTCAAACACCACTCAGATCTTTCCCATTTGTATGCTTTTGTTCTCCATATGTTTCGATTTTATGTAAGGTGATGTCTTGGGTTACTAAATGTCATGTGCCGGTCATTACAAAAGAAAACATGTCATATTTCTACAAAAATTTTGACTAAATATTTGGTATGAAATTTTTATAGCCAATTTTCTTTGCAATTATGACAAAAAATAGAAGTGATGGAAAATTGGTAGGAAATTTCTTACGAAAATAAAGCGTAAAAGAACGGTAAATTATTTCCTACTAATAACCTACACATGTATATTCGTAGAAAATTCGGTCAAAATGGAAGAAAAGTGGTGGACCTAGCTTACCGTTATGCTGGTGGGTATCTTATCGGAAATTTCCTATACATTTTCGACAAAATATTTATTTGTAGAAAAATCGTAGAATTTCTGTAGGAACATTTCAATTTTTGGTTTGTCTTTTTTTTTAATTTATGTTTAATTTCTGAAAAGTGGTAGAAAAATAGTAGGAGTAATTCATAAAAAATATATGTTTCATAAGAAATTGGAAGGAATTAAACTGAAGAAGGTAGTAATTTGGTAGGTATTTCCAACAAAATTTTTCTACCAACATTTTTGTAGGAAATGTTTTACGATTTTCTTGCTTTTTTAAATTTTCGACGGACGATAATCTATGAATAAATTTCTTTGGAATTAGATAATAAACAGCTTTATTATACGATTTTCTTACGATATTTTCTTTAAAAATATGACATATTTTCTTGTAGTGAGTATTGAGAAGAAGAAAAAATTGTTGAACATGTATCTAGGAAATTTACCTAAGTGCTAATACATTAGCAAAAGCAATCTCAGTCTAATGATCAAATATATCAATTACTAAACTATTCCGTTACTAAACGCTGATGAACTTTTATCTAGGACTTGAGCATAATTTTGTGTGTGTTGCCTTTAGTCTTAAGTCTCTTAAGGACCTAGGGTTTGTGTATGTATTCTTGAATTTAATTTATGATTCTGATGTATATGTATTTAAAACTAGGCATGTGCATCCGATTTGTTTGGTTCAGTTTGTTGGATTCAGTTTTGGTAAAATCTTGCACAAGTAAACTGAATAAAGTTTGGATATTGGTTTATTCAGTTTTGACTATACTAAATTCAATTATTTAAGTCTGTTTACGAAAAACGATTCCCAAGAAATTTCGGTATAATTCGGTTAAATTTGATACATTTTTATTTTAGTTATTTAGAATTTCAGTTCGTTCTTTGGTTATTTTAGAGGAAACCGGTTAGAATATCAAAAAGACCAGTTCGAATATACGAAATATTTTAAACTAAAACTGAAGAAACCATCGGTTCAGAGGTACCACCGTATCAAACCAAACCATCCCGAAAACTAAATTTGAAAAGTCGTGAGAAGTTCGGTTTCATTTGGTTTGGGCCGAATGTTCATGTAAATTTCCGTTTTAAAAGTTTGTTTGTTGACTCCATTACAGCCATTGACTCTAATTCAGCCATTGACTCCAAACTTGGTCTCTGAGTCCGTCGAGTCGTCGACGATTCAATTTTGGAACTTTATGTTTCCCACACGTTTTTCTTGTCTTGTTTTCTGCCAAAATAATGTAGAATAACAGGGAATCTACATATCATTTCACACTCTACTACTCCACTTGCTTATTTATATGATTATTGTTGGAGTTGCTAGCTTTGATCATTTGACCAGCTTTTAGGGTTTGTCAACTAGGCATACCTTATCTTCTCTATCATGGAAAATCTGCAGAGAAAACCCAAAGCCTTTGTGGTTTATAAGCTTAAACATCTAAATACAACAAGTCTTTGGCTATATGACCTTGAGAGAATGAAGCTCAAGACTTCATTTTTGCTAATCCTCTGTTCTATCCTTATAACCTTAGACTCTGTTTCTTCACAAATCTGCTTGAATGGATCCTTCAGACCAAATCCCACTTACGACTTAAACCGTCGTCGAATCCTCTCTTTTCTTGCTTCTAATGTCACATCTCACAACGGCTTCTTCAACTCCTCCATGGGTCAAGATCCCAACAGAATCTTCATCATTGCCATGTGCATCCCTGGAACTAAACCAGATACTTGTTCAGGTTGCATCAAAGACGCATCAGAGAGCTTATCACAGAGCTGTCCTAACCAAACAGATGCTTATACATGGCAAGATTCTTGTATGGTACGTTATTCCAACATTTCCTTCTCTGCATCATACGATATTGGACCGTCTCAAGACCTGTACAGTCCCGGAGATATCAACTCTAATGTAACAGTCTTTGATAGAATTGGGGAAGATTTGATGGCCCGTACGATAACTGCAGATCCATTGAGGACTCATGGACATAAGTATTATGCAGCAGATGTTGCTTCCTTGACAGCTTTCTTAACTATGTACGCGATGATGCAATGTACACCGAATCTTTTTCCAGGGCATTGCGGGTTTTGTCTGAGAGCCATTCTTCAAGATTATGAGTCATGTTGTCGCAAGAAAAAAAGTGGTACTGTTACAACACCGAGTTGCTTTATCCGGTGGGATTTGCATCCTTTTTCCGGAGCTTTTGAGAATATTACACTGCAGTCTTTACCTCAGCCAACGGGGAAAGGTAAACATTTTCATATGGTTTGGAACAAGAATATTGATGAAAAATGAAATTAAATCACTAATTTGTAATGATGGTTTGGTGATTTCAGATGGAAAAACGATTTCGATAGGGATTATTGGGGCAATTGTTGTCCCTATCATCGTTATATTGGTACTACTTGTTGTAGGATTGATTTTTTGCAGAAGAAGGAAGTTAAACCAAACAGTTAAAACTCAAGGTTGGTTGGTTACTTTCTTTGCAAGCTACCAGAAGTAAAATCACATACATATTAAGGAAAAAATATATATTGGATGTTGAGGAAGATGTGTCACGTTGTTTGTGCAGTTGGTGAAGAGATCGTATCAATAAACTCACTGGAATTCAATCTTAAGACGATTGAAGCTGCAACTGATAAGTTTTCGGACAGTAACATGATCGGACGAGGTGGATTTGGTGAAGTTTACAAGGTAATAAGTTCTTTCTCTAACTGCTTATCTACTTCTCTTTATGAAGTTGAATCAATACAGAGTTTGATCGTATCTTTTTTTCTGTAGGGAAAGCTTTTAACTGGAACTGAAGTAGCAGTGAAGAGACTGTCAAAAACATCAGGACAAGGTGCTCAAGAGTTTAAGAACGAGGCTGTTCTTGTCACAAAGCTTCAGCATAGGAATTTAGTTAGACTTCTTGGATTTTGTTTGGAAGGAGAAGAAAAGATACTTGTCTACGAGTTTGTACCTAACAAAAGCCTCGACTATTTCCTGTTCGGTATGATATGATCGCTTAAAATACAAGTAAGCTCTGAGCAGACCTTATTGTAGCTAAATTAATGGTGTTATATTAATGCAATTTTATAGACCCTGCAAAGCAAGGTGAACTAGATTGGACAAGACGGTACAACATTATTGGAGGGATTGCTCGAGGGATTCTATATCTTCATCAAGATTCACTACTTACTATCATACACCGTGATCTCAAAGTCAGTAACATTCTCTTAGATGCTGACATGAACCCCAAGATCGCGGATTTTGGTATGGCGAGGATTTTTGGAGTTGATCAATCTCAAGCTAACACAAGCAAAATCGTTGGAACATAGTAATTTTTCTATCTTAAATTCACTTTAAAAAAACTATGCTTGGTGGTTGGTTGCGTGTAGGCTAAAAAGTGTTTCTTGATGCCACAGTGGTTATATGTCTCCAGAATATGCAATGCGAGGCCATTTCTCAATGAAATCTGATGTCTATAGCTTTGGAGTAATGATTCTGGAGATTATAAGTGGCAAAAAGAATAGCAGTTCCTACGACATTGATGATTCTTCTGGCAATTTGGTCACACATGTGAGTATATGAGATTTTCAAATTATTTAAGGCAAAGTCTATACTGAATCTAATTGATCACTTGTGTTAGGCTTGGAGTCTTTGGGGAAGCGAGTCTCCATTAAAACTAGTGGAACCGTCAATAATAGAGAGTTATGAGAGTAATGAGGCTATTAGATGCATCCATATCGCACTTTTATGTATTCAAGAAGATCCTGCTGATCGTCCAATGTTACCAGAGATCATCGTGATGCTCACTGATTTCACAACCACTTTACCTGTACCTCGAATGCCTAGATTTTGCCACTCAAGCATGAGTGATCTTGCCTCCCAGTCAACAAGCAGGTCTATTCCCGATTCTATCAATGATGCATCGATTACAAATATTTAGATCTTCGTTCAAGAATGGTGTTTTCTAGATACTGGAACATCTTCTCTTGATTCTTGTCACTGCTCTACTTTATGAGACATTTGAACTATATAGACGTAGGTACAGTATATCTCACTTGCTATAATTAGTAATTACATATATACATGCTTTGTTCATGCATATCCTTGTGGGATCTTGAGCTGGCAAACTTAAACACATTCACATGATCTAAAACAAGAATCTGTTGAACCTAACACAATTTAGATTATAATCGACATTAATTAGGACTATTGTGGCAATGTCAATAAATGTTAGGATTACATTCTAATCAAGATTAGTTACTGCGTCAGCTTCTCTAACAATAATCCCACATCGAAAGCTCGCTTCTTGATTAACGTTCAATAGGAGTTATAAAACAAGAGGATGGTTCGACCTTATAACATACTTACCTGGACGGGGTCAACAATCGATCAAGAAGAACTGTGGCCTAGGTTAGTGACTTCCATTGCACTCTTCGGAAGTGTGCTTTAGCCTAAGGTCTCCCCAATTGGGAGAGCCTGCGTCGTTATTTGTTGTGTGGGGGTCTGTGTTCGCGCGGCCACTCCCATTATTCTCTAGTCAAATCTTTTTAATCCTCTAGGCCCAGCTCAAGCTTTAATTCTTGTGAAGACTAGGCGAAATAAACAAGTTTGGTTTCTTGTACATAAACGGTTCCACTTCCACAAGGTGCAGTTGTAACGTACAAAAAAAAAAGAATATTTAAAAAGTGCCCACACGCAGGATCGAACTACGGACCTTCAGTTTACAAGACTGACGCTCTACCACTGAGCTATACGGGCAAATTAACAACATTTCAGAGTTCTATAATTATATTTTTCTTTATGAAAATTGTCGTTTGAACTTATGAAGCCCACTTTGATAGGAGTAAGTAAATTGTAATATTTATAAGGACAGCACACGTTTATTATTATTGTATTATTTGCAAAGTCTTTTGAGTTGTGGTTCAAAGCTCATTTTTATATGGTTTTGATTGAAGGTGTTAAAATACACTTATGCTATTAATAAAAAATCATCTTTTCTAATTGGTTTGTTTTATATTTAATTAATATTTTAATTAATCTATGATAAAAAAATAGAAGTATTTTGTAATTAAAACCCAACAATAGATTAGAGCCCATGTTTGGAACGAAGCAGTCCAATCCAAATTTTTTGGTCCATAATATAATATATATTTAAAAACTGATTGATTTACCTAAAAAATGATAGGTCTACTGGTTAGATACTCGGTTTCTTATCTTTCTTATGACAGATTTGATTCCCTAACTTTATAAGTTTTTTTTCGAAATCTCTAATTTAATTAGTCTAGGTTTTAAAAAGTTTTTCAAAATTAAAAAGCGAAAATTTTATTTTTTTCTTATTTTTTTTATCGGAAACAAAAGTTTTCTAGAAAATTTCTGGAATTTTTCTTATTTTAAATAATAAAATCTTCGCTAAATGGAAGGGGTAATACCAAATCTATTTTTACAGACTGAGAAAAAATATTCAGTTAATGAAAAAAAATATTCGGTTATATTGATATTTATCGTAACAAAAAATAGAAAACCTTTAGAGCCTAAAAAATTATTTGTATATATGTAGTTTGTGTCTCCTTTCACATTTGTTACATGTTCTTTTTTTTTTTAATGTTTAACCGAGTTTCTTTTCATCGTTTAGCTTTAGTTTAGTTTAGGAATGTTTACTTTTCTTATTTCAATACGATATATATCAATCTTTTTTGTTATTTCTTATTTCAGTAAGATCGATTTTGATTTTTTTGTTGTTATTTTTTTGTTTTTTTTTAATTTAGTATGAACTGATCTTTTGATTTTTGATTTTTAAGGTATGTGGATGGAACAAATAGAAGAAAGAGCAAACGATTAGAAGCAAAATATAATTTGGTGTGGACTTTCAGATCTCTTCATATTCATTATTGTATAGTAGTCTTTTTTGTTTTTCAGCTTTTGTTCTAGAGTTTAGTCGAATTCTTTTCTTTATGTGTTTTTCTTAAGGGTTTTTAGTGACGGTCAAAAGTTGAGGTATTACCTTAAAACTCTTAATTGTTAGTTTGTCTATTTATTTTTCCTCTCATTTTTTTCCTAATTGTTTTTTAGATCATATACATATATGATTTTTCTATAGCTTTAAAGAACAAGGATCTATAAGACGCAAAGTCGGTTACGGTACGAACATATATGTGGTTATGTTCATGGTGTAGTTTCCTTTGCAAGTTATATTTCTTTTTAATTTCATGGCATTAGGGAGTTTAGATTAAAAATATCAATACGTCTGTATGTATTGAATGCACATATATGGATTGATTCATCTTCTTTGTTATTTGTTTGCTTTTTTTTTGAATTTTTGATTTGAATCTTAAGCTCTGATCTAATCTTTTTTTTTAAGTTACTTAAAATACGATCTCGAAATTTGGGGAAGACAATCATGGATTAAAAAAAAAAGCTTAAATGATATTTCAGGTATTGTTTAACTCTTTGTTTTGATATATATATTTTTTTGGTTAATCTTGGAAAAATTAATTTTCTGTTTGTTCTTAACTTTTAATGTCGATATTTTTGATTTTGTTTTATCTAATGAGCCTAATTTTTCGGTGTTGTATTTTCTTTTATGAGAGATAGCGTCAATTCATTATCATGAATAAAAAATCTAGATTTTTTTCCGTATGAGATTTAAATTTGTTAAAACCAACATAAGTTATTCACTTTATTAACATACGAGTTATTGAACTGTTTAGTAAAGTAGATAGTTCAATTTTTGTAATTTTTGTGACGAAACAACAGAAATTCTGTAAGGTATAAATCAAGATTAATCATGCATCATTTTGTACCTAGTAATAAAGGACCTGTTTTAAATAATTTTCAAAATAACCTTTTTTAAAAATTACTGGACAGCCTAGACATAAGATTAGATTTTCACCTTACATAAATTAATAATTTTTATGCTTTTTAAGAAAATAACATATTATTTAATTTGATAACATGCAATTTTATTTCAAACTAAATTACGCTCTGCGTATATGAGGTTTATAATCTAATATTTTATAACTCACTAAAAATTTTAAAAATAAAACGAGTAAAAAACAAAATCATGTCACTAATAATAAATAAAATAAGATTGAGTACGCTGATATGAAATTACCTATTTATACCAGTGAAAGATGTCAGATTTTAGATTAGAGTGGTTGATGTGAACTGATATCGAACTAAGGAAATAGAACCAGTTAACATTCACCAAGCCGGACGTGCCTGGGTTCAAGATCGATGGACATAGCGTCAGGTTACATATTTAACAACTAATTTCCTTGAAATAAAAGACAACAATATTTTTAGATCTATACTTAATACACATAGATTTTGTATAAAAGTGTTAGAGGTGTACTCCGCACACTCAGTTTAACTAGACATGAACCGAGACCGGCCCAATTAATCCCGGTTAATGATGGTTCATGTCATGATAAACTGGGCCGGGCCGATCTAGTTTAATAGTAGTTAGGCCCAGTATGCGGATAACGTTGACTTTCAAGATTTAAAGAATATTTCCTTAAATCTCGAGGGAAAATATCTTTTTTGACATTACAAGAAAACAAGGATTTAGCGACCTCAAATATAGTTGCTAATTAGTTGCTAATACTACATTTACGACTGAGTTCCGACAAATTCAATCAGTCGCTAATATTGAATCGCTAAATAGATAGTCGTTAATCAATCACCAAATACCGACTGAATAACGACTAAATATTGATGAAGTGAATCAGTCGCAAATCAGTCGTTAGAGTAGCGACTGAATCACGACAATTATTACGACGTATTTACGACTGAACAGCGACTATATGGTTCGATATTTGAATGGTACTTTGGTGCAATTTAACGACTGTTTAGCGACCAATTTAGAACAACTTTCCGACTGATTTACGACTACGTTGCGACGGTTTTAATAAATGAAAACACATTCTGGTATTACGATTTGATTCCACCTAATCTGATAATTTGAATCCACTTATAGATTTTTAATAAGAATTAAATAGCAAAAGAAGTCATTCAAATGTAAACAGCAAAAGAAGTCATTCAAATTACGTAATACCATTGTTCAAAAAGGAGACTTATAAAACCATTGTTGAAAATGAGTTACAAAAACCAAAGACAAAATGGTTACATATTTAACCATTGAGATAAGTTCAAAAGAGTCTAAAAGAGCCTAGATACTTAAAAAACAGAGACGTAGAAGAACGTATGTTTCTGGGGTCGGATTAGAGCTTGTAGCTGCATGAATCGGATCACTTGGAAGAGTTTGATTTGCAGCCAAAAAATCCATGAACTTTGGATCAGTTTCAGTCAAATAACTTTCCACCATAGATAATTTGTCCAGCTTGGCTTGTTGCTCTGCTTCACGCTTGGAGTTCTCAGCCGCTTGTTCTTCTATTTTGCGATGAGTTTCTTGTAGAAGTTCTTCCAGTCCCTTGTATGTTGAAGAGCTTCCTGGGCATTTCCTCTTTCCATTGACAAGCGTCTCTAAGAGGCTTCCAATTCCATAAGGAATTCCTCGCTCATTTATGAAAGTCGACTGCAAAACAAAATAAGGATCAAAGCATCAATGCATATATATTAACATCAAAGCATCAAACAAAGTAACAACTTGAAATCTAAAGAATCAAAGCATAATATATATATAAAAAAAACACAACACAAAAAAAAGACTTTACCTGAAGAAAAATCTCATTCTCCTCTTCTACGGATAGCCCCAACGATGGTGAAGTACCATCTGAAGTCTCTGAGTCTATCCCGAGGTCAGCCAACTTGGATTCCAGGTTCTTCCTATATGCTTCAGCCACAGTCTTGGACTTTCGGTCTACAAATGTTCCATCTCATTTTGTATGAACCTTGATGAAAACTTCACCAAGACTCACCGGTCTTCCCAACTCTTCTTCCTGAAATGATAACAATATGAATGAAAGAGTTACTTTCCATCATTTCTAATTTACTAAAGATGATATATAACTTATCAATAAAAGAGTTAAAAAAATGATATATTTACCATTTCTTGTTGAATTTTGAGGCAGGACTTCTGCCCTGAGAAGTGAACATGAGGACCAAGTCCATTAAGCTCAGACATCCAAGCAGCTGATGTGGTGTCACTCTTCTCTTTGACTTTTTCAGTGTCCCAATACTCTGTCATTTGTTTCTAAATAGTATCACCAATCCAGTTCGGTTGTTCTCGAGAAGCCCTAACCTTGCTGACCATGTCTTTCATCCGGAGTAGACATATTCTCTCAAACTTTTCTTGAACCACACCAGTTAATAAGGGATCCCAGGTGTGGGTTTTCTACAAGAAAAATAAAGAAGATGATGTTACTGAGCAATAAAAAACAAATGGCTCATATGGATCAACACAAAAAGGAGAATATGGATAGAGAACATTACCGTGAATTCAACAAAGTATCTTTCCTATCTCTCCCGAGGCACACATGTCCAGCTATAGAATGGGCCATCAAACTTGTTTGTAAAAGTTTTTGTTATCTTCCGGGTAAGGAAAGACTTGTCACGCCCAAACCTGCAAACACAGAACAAAGCAAAGAAACAGTTACAATCCATAACAATATTAAGGTAAGCTAGACACACAAACATGATAATGTAACTAAGGAAAACAATTTTCTGGGTAAGCTAGACACAAACATGAATTTAAAAAAAAAACTTCAAACAATCATAACAATTCTAAGCTAGACAATCATAACAATTGGTGATAACAATTCTTATCATAACAATTCTTATCTAAAAAAGACTTCAAACAATCATAAAAATTCTTATCAGGAAATGTATCTAAGAAATCTAAACACCCTAAACTATGCAAAAACACAATCTACAAGTACAAACAACCTAAACACCATAAACTATGCAAAAAATCAGAGATTCAGAAATTAAGAAAGGTACTAAATCAGGGTTTGTTGAATTCATACCATGTTGTGTTCGGCTTTTTTATGGGAGAGAGGACAGTGGTGTATGCTTCCCTGCAAGGCTGAGTGAGCAAGGCATTGAGAATTCTGTGCTGTTCTTCCACGAGATTCCCCGTGAATAGAGCTTCTTCTTCTTCCGCGAATGCACTGTGACCTTCGGAGGGACAATTTTGAGCTTCAGCTTGCTCGTGAGATCGAGGAGATGGTTTCTGTTGAGAGTGTGGAGATGGTTGTTGTTGAGAGACTGGAGAGCTTCTTCGTTGCAGCTGTGAAGAGCCTAGATGTGGTTCAGACTCTGCGCTTCGATGTGGATTGTGCGAGCTTGGGAACAGCTGCGTCGGCGGCGGATAATCCCTCACGGATACTGACGGTTGCTGCATGGGAACAATCGGCGGCGACGGTGAGGGCGTGAAGTTGTAACGACTTGGCAGAGGCGACGAATTTCTGGCTTGCGACAAAGCCACACCTCCTCTGCCTCGTCCTCTCTTCCTTCCACCACGACCAGGCATCCTATGATTGAAGATTTCTGGGGATTTAGGGTTAGAATCGAAGGAATTTGGGATTGAAGAAGAAAGAGATTTAGGGTTTGTTTATGTTTGTCGAGGGAAATTGGGAATTATGCTAAGTGTTTCTCGATGGTTATTTGGGCTAATGGGTTTGTTTACTTTTTTTTTTAGGGGCCGAATTGTAGTAGCAAATTAGTTGCCAATTTTCGACTGTTATATGTTAGTCGTTGTATTAGTCGTTATCTGCTGACTCCATTACAACCACATTAATTAGTCGCTAATTAGCGACTAATGTCCGACTGTTTTTTATGAGACATAAATTGAAGGCAAATCAGTTGCTAATTAGTCGTAACATTTAGCAACGGACATATCAGTCGCTAAATTATGTCACTAATTAACTGTTTTCTTGTAGTGTAGTCCAAAGAGAAAAAATGAATTTTAGATTAAAACCGACTTCTGTTATATACATATATATATATATATATATATATATATATATATATATATATAAAAGAAGGGGTTCCTCACAATCAATCCACGCAAATTTTTGAGAGCATTAGAGAACTCAGAGAAAATAACCTAGTTCTTTGAGCCTCCTCATTGTAATTCGATTCTGATATTAATGAAAACGCTTCCGAGCAAAGTTATTCTTCTTGTATGATTCCTGCAATCAACAAAAAGTATTAAATATACAGTAAAACCTCTATAAATTAATAATGTCGGGATCCTAATATTTTATTAATTTATCGTGATATTAATTTATCTATAAATTAATTAGAGAAAAAAAATTTCCGCCTATAATTTTCTAAGACTTTCTTTCGAATAATGTTATATTGAAAATTTAAACAAATCTCTTAATACAAATTATGATTAACAATTATAGGTATCACAATAGAATAGTTTTTAATAGCATATTAGATTGTCCATGTAAAACATATTCATATTGATAAATTTAAAATTTTTTAAAAAAATTATGGCTATAATTATTATTATTGATGATAAAATTGAAGATAACACTACAATACATTTAGAAACAGTTACAGGTAAGAAAATTAAATATCACATCAAAACATTTATCATAATGTTTGAATGCATATCATAAAACAACAATAAGAGCTACTAATATAGTAATTAGAGAGATCAAATCTAATTAGATTTTAACTTTAAGTTAAAACAAACACATTACTCATATTTTTAAAATATTATATTTACATATATTTTCATAAATTTATATAATTATTAATTTATATTTTTGTTGGGAGTATATATTTACATAGGACTTTCAAAAAAAATATTATCTTATTATCTTATCGAATTTGATGAATTTTTACATTGGTCCGACATGAGACCAGCAAAATTTATTATTTATAGTGATTATTAATTTATCGAGTATTAATGTATAGAGGTTCTATTGTATATTGTTTCTAGAAAACTTTCTCTAAGACATTGAAAAAACAAGATTTTTGAATCTTTTCAAACTGTGGTAATTTGTATAAGTTAAAGTGTTATTTGCAATTTTAATTTTATAATGATCAGTTTAGTAGATTTTTTAATAATGTCAAAGGAAACCATCAATTTTTTTTTCAGCTAGTCTTCGTATACCTATCAACTTGTCACTTGCCTTTGTGCTTGACTGTCCATTGATTTAAAATCCAAAAGAAAAAAACTTATATGCATTCTATACAGAATTCAATAAATTTTTAGGGTTTTTGGAGTGAAAGTTATTACCAGGCCAACCTAAGATTATTTACGAAGACATCATCATTAATTTAATTAAGAAATTTTAGGGAAGCTAATTGAACCTATAGGATGCTATTAGTTTAATTAAGAAATTTTAGGGTTTTTAGGGAAGTCCCCTGTTCCTTCGCCATATCGGTTCAGCCAATCGTCAAAAGCTGCCTTCAAAGTCACATCCAAAAGTGACAAAGTTCAAGATATGCGGCTTTGCCGTGAAGTCTTACTCGACGCATTTGAGGCTTGCCTCAGATCTGTTGTCTTTCTTCTTCCATGAGGAACTATCTGCACTATGGTTTATTGCCTTTATCGTGTATCTTATTAAGCTAAGAGGATGTTACATTCCCTCTCTTTGTATTTGGAAAGAGTAATCTAAGGAAAAAAAATGTTGAAAAAAAAAGGATGCTATTAGTTTTCATTTTTATATATTTCTTTTTCTTAACTACTGAAATTTGTTGTTGAATCGATCTAATATATATACATATGCGAAAATGTGCCTATTAAATTTAAGGTAAACAGAAAAACATAGTATAGATTTTAAATATATAAAAACACACACATATATATATATATAATAAATATTATTTACGATTAAAATAATAATTTTAAATTAGTATAAATTTTAGAAAAAATATGAGATTTGAAATTTAAATTTAATATTTGAAAAGTTAATGTTAGAGCCAAATTAGTTATCTCATTGATCATGGTTTTACATGTTATCTATGTTTTTTAGCCATTTGATTTATTATAAGTTTACATTATGTAATTTTATACTTAAATCTGTTATTAGAATCTGTATATTTAATTATATCATTTATAATGTATTGCATTATTTAGATTGTTATTATTTATGGATGTAATATTGTTTTAGTATTATAGTTGTTGTAAATAAATATAACTAATCAATACAATCAGATATATATTTAAAATGTAATCTGAAATAATGATTTGTAAATTTGTATGAAAAACAAATCTAATCTAAGATAAAAAACATAAGATTTGTTTTTGTAAATTATACTAAAAATATATAACTATACAAAAAAATAATAATATTATATTGATGAGATACCTAATGAATAGTATCTCATCAATAAAGGTAGAATTTCAAGATGAGATTCTCAACTAAAATTAACTAAATAATATTAATTTTATATTGGTAAGATATCTAATGAGTATTTAATCAATGGAAGTTGAACTTTAAGATCAATTTCTCAACTAAATTTAACTCACAAACATTAATCTCATAGTGTTGAGATACCCTATAAATATTTCACCAATGGGATATGCTCTTAAATTGCAGCATTCTCGCTTGTATTGAAAACAAGAAACTCAATCACTTCCTCTAATTGGTTGGGTTTTAAGTTTCATAGCACGATGGTGAAACATGGTTATTCTATCTTATCTTTAACTTTGTTTTTGATTTTTTCTCTTGTTTTACATTTTCGTTTTGAAACTACGATGGCTGCACGAGAATCCGTTAAAGTGTTCGGTCAACCTATTCATCACGTTTGGTCAACACCAACACCTCCCCCATACAAGTGGTTCAAAGAGCAAAAAGCGTTTCAACCTATTCATCACGTTTGGTCAACACCAACACCTCCCCATACAAGTGGTTCAAAGAGCAAAAAGCGTTTCAACCTATTCATCACGTTTGGTCAACACCAACACCTCCCCCATACAAGTGGTTCAAAGAGCAAAAAGGCATCAAACACAAAGATCTACCAAGTGCACCATAAATGGTATCGTAGTTAGTTTTGTCTATAAGTAACCATTTTTTTATATAGACCTTTCTTTTTTTTTTTTATCTTTATACAAACGGTTTTTTTTTTCATTTTCTCGGAGTGGATATGAACTCAAATTGATTAAAAATGATGCTTATATTCTTTGTGTCCGTGTAACTGTTATTCTTAAAAAGTTCAATCTTTTTTTTCACGTAGTACCAAATATTACTGTTTGGAATGCTTATTAGAATCTAATCTTATACT